AAGCGGCAAATGATGTGTACAGTCCCAGGCGGGCGGTGCGCGTGATACCGCGCACGAATCCGAGTCAAGGATCAAGGGTCCTTGCTAGGCCAATCTGTGGCTCCCCATCGCTCAACGAGAATCGGGCTCGCAACTCAAGAGCTTCCACTCAGACGGAGCGCTGGAGTACAAGTCACAACGATTCAGGAACTACTTGGCAGAAAGAGGCATCAGATGCCTGGTGTCCCTGCCCTACGCTCACCAGCAGCAAGGGGTCACAGAGAGGATGAACCGAACCTTGCAGATGACGATGCGGAAGCTGCTCCTGGGGATGAGACTGCAAGACCGAAATACGTGGAAGCTGGTTATTCCGATGTACGCTGTAGGTAGCAGTAAGGGAGTGGCGCTCACAAGGACTTCAGGTTAATCCGACGTACGCTGCAGTCGCCAACGCCGAACCCACCGGGGGAAACACCTGGTTCTTGGATAGCTGCTGCGGTCAACACATGTGTTCTTCCGGGCGCTTCGTTTAGCGAGAGCGACGCCTCAACCGCGATGTCATCACCACCGTAGCCAACAACGAGAACCTGAAAACAAACAAACAAGGCGTCGTTCAGCTTCAGTCAATGGAGACCAACGTCATACTACAACTCAACAAAGTTCTAATCGTCGACAACTTGGGATACAACTTACTCAGCGTCAGCCAGTTAATGGCAAAAGGGATTCACCTGGAATGCGACTCGGACTCCAACGAATTTCGCCTTTACCACGGGAAGGGCGGTCTTTTCATCGGTCGCGCTCTCCTGAAGTCGGGCTTCTTCATGTTAGATTTCGTCCCCGACCGCGGTACTGCCGACAGCGATGGCATCGTGTCGTTCGCCGCCTGGACACACCCGCCGGATCTTGACCCCGAGTTCAAACCAGATGGCTTCTGGTACTCCAACACCATACCTGCAGCAGAGAGAACACGAGTGTTAGCAGTTATTTGACAAGAAAGACAAGTACCAGCAAGCGTTCCTTCCTCAACATCACCTGAAGTAACAGCAGCGGGACCCAGAAGAGTACCATCACCAGCAATCCGAGGACCACCAACCGAAGCAGATCAACGTATGCCAATCACACGAGAAGTCTGCCAAAGTCCCGCCACGGTTTCCCTTTCTTCTCCAACACCGACATGTACCAACGGTCGCCCGGCCATCGCGCTCCCGACGACATCTGGCAGCAATGCCTCGGCCACCCTGCAAACAGCACGGTACTACAAACCATCCAAGCCGAAGTGTTAGAGAGAAACGCTCTTCTTACAACGAGCGGCCAAGAACTTCAACGACCACGCGCACGGTGCTTCACGTGCCCCGAAGCCGATCTTCCCCACCAACCTTTTCCATCACATCACAACCCAAGCGCACCTGCATACGCACCGATGGAAAAAGTTTACAGCGACATCTTAAACATGCCTCGAGACGACACTGAAGCCAACTTCAATTATGTCATCACGTTCATCGATGCAGCAACAAGATATGTCTGGCACTACAACCTCAAGACGCGAGATCAAGCTTTCGAAGCCTTCACGACGTGGCTCCCCATCGCTGAACGAGAATCAGGAACTCAGCTCAAGAGCTTCCAGTCCGATGGCGCACTGGAATACCAGTCACAACTATTCAAGAACTACTTGGCGGAAAGAGGAATGAGACGCCTGGTGTCTCTGCCCTACGCTCACCAGCAGCAGGGGATCGCAGAAAGATGAACCGGACCTTGCAGATGACGATGCGGAAACTGCTCCTGGGGATGAGACTGCCCAACACACTGTGGCCAGACGCGATGACCCATGCAGTCCACCTGCACAATTTGTTATCCTCGTCCTCGCTTCCCAACAACGCATCACCGCACCTGCTGTGGACACAAAAAAGGGGCAGCACAAAATTACTTCGAGTTTTCGGCTGCATGGTACAGTACAGACCCCACACAGCCCGAGCAGGACGTTTCACTCAACGAGCACGGTGGGGACTACACCTCGGCATCGCCAAACATTTTCAAGCATGGAAACTCCTCGACATACAAGACAAAAATACCGTGGCATCATGTGATGTGATCTTTTACGAACGACTGACACTGCAGCATTACCTGGACAACGTCGCCAACACAGACGACCCCACCGACGGCTTCGCGGGCCTTCGCTCCTTCGCCGACCGTGCTGCCGAGGCTGACGCAGCAGAAGAAGACGTACCTGGAGCTTCGGAAGCTGCCGGACCACTCCCTTACTGTTCCGTGCCTGTTCCACTCGACGAAGACAATCCTCTCGATAGCAACAACCTCGACACCCTTTACCACTTCGCTGACCAAGGTTACGTTACACCTCGCCCAGTCGACACGAATGTCTCAGAACGCATCGGCCCAAACTTCTTACCTGATCCAGAAGATGGTGACGAAGCAGCCTATTCCGGGAATGAAAATTCCCCTCGACACACACCCACGGGACTGCAAATCCTCGGCTTATGGGTCTCCGTCCAGCATCCGCCGTCGCCATCTCCGCCCGAGCCAACAACTCTGTCGCAGGCTCTCGGGGGGGGAACATAAGGCGAAATGGAAGGAGGCAATGGAAAAAGAACTGAAAGCTCTGCAAGACCGAAATACATGGAAGCTGGTACCTGCAACGAACATCAACGGGAAGAACGTACTCTCGGGAAAATGGGTGTACCGCATCAAGTCTAATGCGGACGGCTCCATCGAACGATTCAAGGCTCGCTGGGTCGTACGAGGGTTCGATCAACGATACGGAACCGACTACACAGAAACATTCGCCCCAGTCTCCCGTCACACCTCCTTGCGCATTCTACTCGCCGTCGCGGCCACGAAGAAACTACCACTGCGCCAGATCGACGTCGCAAATGCCTTCCTGTACGCACCTGTGGATGCCGAGATCTTCGTCGAGCAGCCCCACGGATTCATCGACGACCCCACAAAAGTATGCCAGCTAATAAAATCCCTCTACGGGATCGAGCAAGCCCCGTGGCTATGGTAGCAGCATCTTCACGGTTGCCTCGTCAGAATCGGATTCCTACAGCTGCCGCACGACCAAGGCATGTACCGACTACAGAAGGAAGGGGATTTTATCCTACTCATTGTCTACGTCGACGACCTGCTCTACATCGGCTCCACTACCGACATCGCCACCTGGTTCGAAGGGGAGCTAAGAAGTGACTTGACACTCACGGTGTCTGACACCGTGACCCAGTACCTGGGACTGAACGTCGTCGAAGACAACTCGGCGTTCTACCTATATGCTGGAAAATACGCAGGCGTTGTCGAAAAAGAAATTCGGACTGACACCGACTACAGTCACGACTCCCTACCGCTACGGGAACAACAACGACACCTCCGCAAAACTCCCCGCGAAACAAATCCAGGAGTATCAGCAGAAGCTCGGCTGCCTACTATTCGCAGCAGTAACCTGCCGACCTGACCTATCCTACAGCGCGAGCCAACTGGCGACGCATCTGAAGCAGCCGGAACAAGAAGATCTCGAAGAACTAAATCGGGCACTACTCTATTTCGTCTCTACGCCGACGACCGGACTTATCTACAGTAAAGCAACAACATCGTCCGTACAACTACTCGGATACGTCGACGCCGACCACGCGGGAGATAGGGAAAATCGACGATCAAGAACGGGCTACATCTACCGACTAGAGCCTATCGGGACTATCCCCTGGCAGTCGAGCAAACAGGAACTAATCGCACTATCTTCGGCTGAAGCAGAATATATCGCCCTCTGCACTGCGACCAAGGAAGGACTCTACCTGCGAGAGTTACTCGAGGAAGCAAAGATTGCGACCCTGCCCGTCTTCTCACTCTTCTGCGACAACCAATCTGCGATCAAAATCGCGAACAAGGACGGTTTCGCCAAACGAACCAAGCACATCGCCCTGCGGTATTTCTTCGTCAAAGATGAAATCGCGAAGGGGAGACTTCAACTTAGTTACTGCCCCACGACAGAATTGGCTGCAGACTACCTGACGAAGAAACTGGCGAAAGCAAAGTTCGATTACTGCATGCTACTGACCGAGCAGACAAACATCACCAAATCCGGTCACAGCAGCACTCCAGAAACGAAGGGGAGTGTTGGAAATATCTCAAGGACTTGAGCGTTTCTGAAGTGTAAAACACCACACTCGAGGAAGATCGTAACAGGTACGCGAGTCAACGGAGGTTACACGAGGGGGTGGACAAAGAATACGAAAGGACTCGAAGGGTCGCAACCGGAGGTTGCGACTGACCGTTACAACTGCAAGAACGGTAACCAAAGCGACAATCGAGTCGCTATGCGATTCGATAACCGCTCTTCAACTGTATTCTACAACTGCTTTGCTTTCCTAGTTTATATATATTGCTGTATGCTTGTTCTTTTTAATCAATCACTTGTTCTCACATACTAGTACAAGGGTTCAACTACTCCAACTTCCGCTGCACTACTCAAGCCTTCTTTACAACTGAAACTTAGTCTCTGGAAAGATCCTAAGGGCATTTCTCAGCCCAACAGGGAGTTTGGTCTCTGACCAGCTCTCATACCATGTTGGGCTAAGAAAAGCCCTTAGGATCTTTCCAGAGACTAAGTCCCACTTGTATAAGATGCTTGAGTAGTGCAGCGGAAGTGTTGAGTAGTTGAACCCTTGCACTAGTATGTGAGAGCAAGTGATTGATTAAAAGAAACAAGCATACAGCAATATATAGAAGATGGAAAAAAATAGAGCAGTTGTAGAATACAGTTGAAGAAACGGTTATCGAGTCGCACGGCGACTCGATCGATGGTTCGGTTACCACCTTTGCAGCCGAAACGGTCAGTCGCAACCTCCGCTTGCGATCCTTCGAGTCCCTTCTTCCTTTCGCATTCTTTCGTCCAACCTCCTCGTGTAACCTGCGTTGACTCGCATACTCAATACAACATTTCCTTCGAGTGTAGTGTTACACTTCAGAAACGCTTAAGTCTTTGAGGTACTTCCAACTGAAACACCTTATGGAAAAGGGATGGGCTTATAACAAAATAACAGGTGTACCTACAAACGCAGAAACAGAATATACTAACATTTGTCCGTCAACAGCCCCACTGCATCATTCCCCACCTTGTGTGTTCTCCCTACCTCCAGCTCTTGGTCACTCAACTGAATTTCGTCTTCCCTTTTTCTACCTTTCTGGCCCGTTTCCCCCCACAACATATTTTCCCACCAGAGCTTCGGTTGATTCGGAAACAGCTCTTCCAGCCTAGGGTCGGGCGTGGCCAGCCAGGAGCAGTAGAGAGCAGCGGCAGCGACGACGGCAGCCAGGGACATGAGCACCAGCGAGCCGAAATGGCGGGGGTCGTGGAACACTATGGCCACGCCTAGCATGGCCAGCTCTGCCAGGCTGCCGAGGGCCATCTCCGTCGTTCCAAACAGGTTGGCCGATGGCGCAGGCACGGCCTGAATGATTTGACAGCCAACTATCTGATACATCCCCTGGCCCATGCGAGAGAACACCTGCCGAACGTTTGGGTGCCAGAGAAAGAACATAGGCAAGGGGTCTACAAGGAGAGCAGGAGAAAACAAAACAGGCGTGTATGCATAGTACGAAGTAGAGCTCGATAGGAAGCAGTCATACCAAGGCCTCGATACGGAGGTGTCCCAATAAGACTTGGGACTTGATCACAAGTCTGCCTAAAATGGAATTAAGTCTCAATAAGAGTGGACTCACCACAAGCAGGAGGAAAAAGAGCAGCAGCCCCTGTTGCAGAGCTGGGGGGCAGAACTGGAGAGAAGAGAAGTCAAGCACCGCGATGCAGAGCAAGGAGGCTTGAAACAGAAGGGCCGCACTGCCAGCCTGGGGTCGAGAGAGAGTGGGCGCAGTGAGGAGGGGACAATAGTGACGAGCAGACAAGAGTGAGGAGGGGACATGAATGAGGAGGGAGCTTACGGAGAGGGTGGTATGATTGGAAGAGGGCAGTTCTCTTTCCCTGTTCCCAAACCCCCTTGCACCTCTACAAGTGGAACGTAGTGCATCGCACTGAGTCTCAAACCACTTCACATTACACCCATTCTATCTCACTGCACCCATTGCACCTGCAGGACGCCCAGGCATGCCACGAGTGTAGGCGACAGGAAGGAGGCAGAAAAGGCCATGGCAGCACACGCACCGCTGAACACGCCTATCATTGCCATGTCAATTCCTGCAGGCACAAAGAAGTGAGTGAAAGAGACGTGGGCGGTGAAAGAAATGGAGATCACTCGTTATTGAAAGAAACAGAGCGCGGAGCATGTTGGGAGAGGAGAAGCACGGACCGTGGTGGAAGAGGAAGGAGGTCATGAGGCCCCCTGGCGCGAGCACAGCATTGAAGCACAGCAGCACATATGCCAAGCTCGCAGGCATCACCGCCTGCTGCACGAAGTTGCTCCAACCCTTCCCTGCTGCTCTCCCCACTGCTGATGCTGCCACTCCCACGGCTGCTACAGCTGCCACTGCTGATGCTGCGCACCTCCTAAGCATCTCACATGCCGATTCCGCCTCCTGCTGTGTGGATAGTTGCTCCCTTGACACAGCAATAACTACATTGACAGCTCCACTCTTCGATCCAGCAGGCAGTGCCTCCTCCCGTTTCGATACAGCTGGGACCAGAGCTCCATCGTCGGAGGCAGCAACAGAGGAAGAGATGTCACTAGCAGCATCCGCAGCATCAGACGCAGCAGCGACAGCAGCAACAGCCTCAGTGAAAGCTCCAGCAGCATCAGTAGCAGCAGCAGGGAGAGACCCTTGTGAAGGGGATATCTCAAGGGACGAAGACTGGCCTAGAGCTCCTTGCGATAGATGGTTGGTGAGAGCAGTCAGCGCAAGCTGAATTAGGGTAAACGGGATACAGTACAGGGGGATAGGAAGGAGGAGGGGAGAGTAGTGATGAAATAAGATTGTGATAACGAATGAGGAAGGCTTTACATCTTTCCAGGAGCGATTGAAAGAACAAAAGAGGCGTTAGAGAACAGTAGTGTTTGCAAGCATAAGAAGCGTACCAGACCAGGGATGGAGAGTGCAGCAAGAGCAAGGCATGCTTTGGCACACACGAGCGGGCCACATGTGGCAATGACCCATCCGAAGGTGAATGCGCCCGCAACCTGCAAGGAGAGAGATGAGAAATAAGAAAGAGGGAGATGATGAAAGGGATGGAGGAGAGCGTGGGGAGCGAGGGAGAGAGGAAGGGAGAAGGGCGCCCCGGTCAAGGATAGAGAAGAGAGGAGAGGAGAGAGGAGAGAAGAGAGGATTGGCCATGAGGACGGGAGGGAGGATAGGAGGGCCGGGTCAAAGCATCACAATAGATTGAAAGGATAAGAGAAGATACAGAAGTACAGGAGGAAGGATGAAAACACGTCTGCAACTCCCACAACTTACACAGGATTGTCAATCCAGTGCACCGCGCATGTCACACGAGCCACCGGCCAAGAGCTGGCAGACATGCTAACTTCATCCATCAGATGTGCAGCACAAGAGAACTGCTGACCTCGATACCATTCGCAGCTCATCTCACCTCGCAGCACTGCTCTATCCTCCCCAGCATGGCCATGGCGCTTGCCATGAGCACCGGCTGATCCTCACCCACCAGCTGAGCGTGGTGTGCAGGGAATGGGGGGTGTGGGGGGGGGAGGGAATGGCAGACAATCAAATGGAGAAATGAGCCACCCGCCCATCCTGACTTCTGAGACCAGAGCAGAATAGAAGGAAGGAACACACGTGAGGCGTAATGAGAGAGAGTGGGAGTGGGGAAGCAGGCAACAAGTAGGGAAGTGAGACTAACAAGCAGCATGTGGGCAACCATGTGTGGTCGTTTGTGTGCTCGCATGTGTGCGCGCATCTGTGCTCGCATGTGTGTGCGCATGTGTGCTCGCATGTGTGCGCGCATGTGTGCTCGCATGTGTGCCCCCATGTGTGCTCGCATGTGTGCCCGCATGTGTGCTTGCATGTGTGCTCCAATGTGTGCCCACGTGTGCGCCCGCGTGTGTGCTAGCACGTGTGCCCGCTTGTGCGCCCGCGTGTGCGCTCGCATGTGTGCTCGCATGTGTGCTTGCATGTGTGCTCGCATGTGTGCTCGCATGTGTGCCCACGTGTGCGCCCGCGTGTGCGCTCGCATGTGTGCTCGCATGTGTGCTCGCCTGTGTGCTTGCATGTGTGCTTGCATGTGTGCTTGCATGTGTGCTCGCATGTGTGCTTGCATGTGTGCTCGCATGTGTGCCCGCATGTGTGCTTGCATGTGTGCTCGCATGTGTGCCCACGTGCGCGCCCGCGTGTGCGCTAGCATGTGTGCCCGCTTGTGCGCCCGCGTGTGCGCTCGCATGTGTGCTCGCATGTGTGCTTGCATGTGTGCTCGCATGTGTGCTCGCATGTGTGCTTGCATGTGTGCTCGCATGTGTGCTCGCATGTGTGCTCGCATGTGTGCTCGCATGTGTGCCCACGTGTGCGCCCGCGTGTGCGCTAGCATGTGTGCCCGCTTGTGCGCCCGCGTGTGCGTTCGCATGTGTGCTCGCATGTGTGCTCGCCCGTGTGCTTGCATGTGTGCTCGCATGTGTGCTCGCATGTGTGCTTGCATGTGTGCTCGCATGTGTGCCCGCATGTGTGCTTGCATGTGTGCTCGCATGTGTGCCCACGTGTGCGCCCGCGTGTGCGCTAGCATGTGTGCCCGCTTGTGCGCCCGCGCATGCGCTCGCATGTGTGCTCGCATGTGTGCTCGCATGTGTGCTTGCATGTGTGCTTGCATGTGTGCTCGCATGTGTGCACGCACCACAACGACCCAGTCCATTTCAACCGCCACACCCGACGCCAGTCCCATGAGCCGCTCCACTGCGCCCGCCACCAGCAGCACAGCAAACCACCCCTGCTGTAGCACAGCTGTTGCGGGGAGAGCAGACAGCGCTGACGTGGCATATGATGCTGCGACAGTGGCAGCAGCTGCTGGCGCTGCAGCAGCGGGGTAGGCGAGGTGCAAGGCGTGCATGGTGGCCACTGCTCCCACCACAATGGCCGTGGCCTGGAGAACAGGGCAGGGGCGAGAGGCGAGAAAAGGGGAGGGGAGAGTGAGGAGGGGGTGTCTTGCAGGTAGAGAACAGGCCAGTGGGAGAAACGAAAAATAGCGGGTGGAGGGAGAAGGGGGGTTGAGCATGCAGGGCATCAGGGCTCGCATGTTCACCTGAGCCCGCATGTCCACCTGAGCCCGCATGCTCACCTGAGCCCGCATGCTCACCTGAGCCCGCATGCTCACCTGAGCCCGCATGCTCACCTGAGCCCGCATGCTCACCTGAGCCCGCATGCTCACCTGAGCGCCCGCATGCTCACCTGAGCCCGCATGCTCACCTGAGCAACGACGATGATTCTGAGCGCGGGCAGCCTGGGAGCGGAGTCCATGAGGTCGCCCACCAGAGGAGCCGCCACACATGCCACCAGCTGCACGGGGGACAGTACGGAGGGCGGGAGAGGCGCGGAGGGCGGTAGAGGTGTCGAGGGGGGTAAAGTGGGGAAAAGTAGAGGAGGGGGGAAGGGAGAAGGGAGTAGCGGGAAGGAAGGAGCTAAAAAATCTCTAAAGCTCAAATCCGGACAGAAGGGGATGCATTGCGGGCATGGTTTGGGGGAATCTGGGGCAGATTGATGAGGGTGAGCGGTCGTGCGTGACCGCCGCGTGCACATCTGCTCGCTTGAATGCCGACTTGCGTGTGTCAGGTGAGTGCGTGAGCGCCGCACCTGGCTAACAAATCTCGCGACAACCACCGGCAGCCATGAGTGATGCAACAACGCGAGCAAAGCTGCTCCCGCGAACCGCCACGACTGCTCGGCAAAGCAGTTGAAAATGAAGGTCCAGTAGAGGGCTGCAGGGAAAGAGGGGAGAACGAGGATGGGGAGTTGAGGGAAAGAAATGCACGGGAGGAGGGGAAGGAAGGGAACAGGGGAGGGAAGGGGGGAGGATGGAGGTATGAATATCGATTTTACTTTGAAAGGACGAGGGGAGACGAGTGAAGTATTACGCAGATCCAGGGAAGTTCCCGGGATCTGGCAGACGAATCCCGCCAGCAGGAACATGACGAGCGGGCGGAGGATCGCGTCCGTAGTCTGGACAAGGAACGCCCTTCGAAACAAGCACGGGCAAAGGACGGGGGAGGGAAGCGCGGAGGAAGGGGGAGGGGCTGGTCCGCGTAGGACTAGTAAGAGACTTAGTTGGTTCCCTCTCGACGAGGTTGAAACGAAATTTGAACCTGAAGACGTGGGGAGCCGATTCTCAGCATCACGTGGGGCTGGGATGTCCGTTCATGACGGTGTGTGTGTGCTGTGCCAGAGTGAATCTCGCTCGTACAGCTACTCGTCACAAAAATGTGGATATCTCCTATATTGTAGGTATAGTTGTTCGTAGAGCAAGGCTACTCCGTAGCAGACGTACCTATGCCGTACCTACTGTATAGCTACTCCGTATTTCTGATCCTGGTATTTTGGGACGCTGTCGTTCGCCAATATTTCAACGAATCACGAGTGCAAAATGATCTTCCCGCAACCGAAGAGGAGAGGGCGCGGGGGTCGCTGCGCACCGTGCAAGGCGGCGGGATGGGCAGGGCGGGCCAATGCCGCCTCTTCAGATGGCGCCTCTTTCGCGCCCTTCTCCTCGGCCCGCTCCTCCTCTCCCTCCGCTGCTAGCACGCTGATGTAGCCACCGTCATTACCAGCGTCGCTGTCCCCGTCACTGCTGCTGCCGCAGTCGATCCCAACATCCCTGCCGGCGCTGGATTGGCTGATGTTGGTGCTGCTGAAGCTGCTGACGCTGCTGGCGCTGCTGGTCCTGCTGTGAGTGACGGCGACGCTTTCCTCGCTATGCTCCGTGTGAAGGCCCTCATTCAGCAGCGGAAGGGCGTCGGGTGCTCGTTCTCGTCGTGCGCTGCCACAGTACGTCTCTTCTCTCCATGTTGCACGCTCAATCTCGTCTGCTAACTTCTCCATGTGGGTTTGGAACCGGCGGCGTCGAGAGGTGGCCTAGTACTCGCAGTCCTAAACAGCTACGCTAGCGACGGCCAGTGTTGTCGCGCGCGTTTGCCGCTTCTAGTCTAGTAACCGCACTGCTGGGGATTTTCACCAAGTGGACAGGAATCAATACTGATCGACTAGAAGGAATCAGCGATTGGTGCTTCTAGCAAGAGTCTCGGCCAGAAGCAGTGCTCCGGGTATCTGCACAGCCAATTCGCGATGGACGAGGTTTGTGGGGGAGGGGTCCCAAGCGTACATCTGATTGCGGTTGGGTGAGGTGTGTTCTGGACTAGTCAACAACGGTTGGGTAGGGTATTGAGCAAAAACATGCAGTTTGAGACACGCCCAACCAAACATCTGGCCAGCCCAGGGATTCCCGAATTATTGGTACAGAAATGGTACACGTGTACAGCACTTTGCCCCCCAGTCCCCCCAAACAAAAGGGCTTCTGGTTGTTGGCGGGATCGCGTCTCCAACTTCGGGCTCCCTCGAAACCAATTTTCTTGTCAATCTCGCATTTTGACGAAAACGTCGTCAGGGTCAGTTTTCTGCAGGGGTAATAGGTTCGCAGCAGGAGGAATCACAACAGGTGGATATTCGCCCAGTGGTTCGCCAATACCGTTCTTGGGAGGCCGAGGTCTCCCGTTTACAGCCCTGAAATTGCCGGAAAGCGACCGAACTGAGCCCTGAATGCGTACGGTCTGGGGTCCAAACCAGAACTTAAAAACAGGGCTGCGCCAGAGTCTGTACTTTGCCAGGGAGGAAAAGTTCGTAATCGTACAACAGGATAGGCAAGGTGAGTGGCGAGGGCAGCCTATTTTCGCAGTATAATTTGTTTGCCAAATCTGATTGTAGTGCACATTTCTCAGTGTGTGGCTTTGGAAACTCGGCCAAAAAAAATATGTGTGGGGAGGGGGGAGGAGAAAGTGGGGGTGTGGGAGAGGGGGATGTTGGAGCATTGTCTCGGTCTGTGGGGGACTTCATCAAATTTTCTGGGGGTGTGATGGGTGTGGGAGGAATGTCTGCGGGTGAGGGGGACTTCACCGATTTTCCTATGTTTGGGTGGGGTGTGGGAAGAATTTCTCTGGTTTGGAGGACTGGGCGAAATTATCTGGGGGTGCGAGGGGTGTGGGAGGAATGTCTCTGGGTGTGGGGGACAGACGAATGATCCGAGTTTGTGTGGATGTGGGAAGGCTGTCTTTGGTTTGGAGGACAGCCAAATTACCTTGCCGAAGGGGAAGGTGGGGTGGTGGGGGTGGGCGAGGAAGGTCTGCCTAGTGTCAGGGTATGTCTGGGTCTAGTTACGGAAAATCAGGAAAAGGACTCAACTCCGCCTGGAACGTATCCGGAAAAAGGCCCAACGAAACCCTTGTCCATCACGGGCTGGTCCCGAACCAAACCCTTTAAAGTCGGACCCTGACAGACGGCTTAACCGGAATGTTCAGGGCATGAAGGGAATTTGCAGTTCAGTCAACAGGCCTGCCGGAACTCTGGCACAGAACCCTAGGATTCCAGTAAACACTTTCAGGCCGTCCCGAAAGATTCAGACGCTTTCAGGCGCTAGCAAAAGAACGCCTTGCAGGTTGGGTTCTGGGTGACGCCAGGACATGGAAATCAAGGAAAGGTCACCTACCTCTACACCACACCACACACATTTCAAGGAGGTCTCTAGATGTTTCAGGAAATCTTCCAAAACGTCAATTTCAGCCGCATGTTTGAGGTCAAAGGAATTCAGAGGAGCCACAGCTTCCATTGTCACACGTCAGCAGTGTCGTCGATGTGAGGAATCCTAGGATCTGCTCGTCGGCAAGTTTATTCCGCCAGTATCGTTCACACTCAAATTATGCCCCGAGCGCTGTTCAGGCGTAATCCCTTTGACTTTTGTGATACTGTTACAGCAGAGCATTGGCCTGGCTCGCCACCACCCCAACCACACCTTCCGTGGCGGTGACGCGACCGTGCTACCCTTGTTGCCCGAGTCAGTCACGTCTCGGTTCTCTCACAAAAGCTTCCCGCATCACTTGTGTTTCTAGCACGGGCAACCGCACCCCGTTTTGAAGCACATGGTGTGCACTGTTTTCACTCAAGACAATGGCAATTATGAGCTTCCTTGCCGTGACAAACCCCATTTGCCCGTCCAGCCTCGCCTCCAACCACTTCGCCAGGAGCTTCTGCGAAATTTGGCATAAAGATCGGTGGAGTCGCAACGAACTCACGGGCTGGTTTGTAGGCTGCGTTACCCTGCTATATGATTCTGACCGATTTCGAAAATTTCGTAATTAGGTGCAAGACATCGCGAAAAAAAATCAAGGGGGTACCGACTGTTGATAATCGAACAAATGTAGCCCCCCTTCCGCCATCCCACCATCCCTCGAGCCTGGTGTTCCGAGAGTTCGGGTGTACGCGATTGCAGTACAACCCGGTAAGGAATAAAATTCCTTACACTACCCCCTTTCCCCTAAAGAAGGTGATCAATATCGGGAACGCCTTTTCGGTTCAAATAAGATTTGAGCACCGAGTGTTCCTGAATCGAGTTGGAAGTGACCCAGATGTCGTCTTCGCTGGTACGGTCGACCCAGGGACAAGAAAATCCACGTGTCGTCCAATCGAGTCGAGGCGAACGCGATGACTCAAAAGCCGGAAAGGCTCAAGCGTTGGTTCAGCCAGTGGGCGAACACTTGGGGCGGCCGCTGGTCGTGCGACTGCAGACGTGCTGGCGACGTATGGACGAAGCAGGCTGACGTGGAAGGCGTCGTGAATGCGCCACTCGTCCGGGAGTAATAACTTCGCTGTGACAGGTGTCACCATCTTGACAATACGAAAAGGGCCACAGAATCGCGGGCAGAGTTTTGAAGGCAGGGGCAATCGAAGGTTCTTTGTGTCGAGGAGGACTAGTTGCCCAGCGGTCATCGTAATATCGCGGCGATGAAGGTCTGTATAGCATCGAGCGGTTGTGTTGGACTTGCGAATGAATTCGATCGCTTTATCCCGGGCAGCTTGCAAACTGGAGACGAACTGCTGGGAACGTGGCACGGGGTTGTTGATGTTGGTAGTCGTCGGGACGGTCGGATCCATCCCGTAGTTGAGGAAAAACGGCGAGTGATTAATCGTAGCGGATGGGGCATTGTTGTAGGAGAATTCCAGCATGGGCAGGAATTCTTCCCACCGGGCAGGATCGGGGCAGTTGGTGCGGATCAGCTGCTCTATGGTCTGATTGGTTCGTTCGGTCTGGCCGTCGGTTTGAGGATGATAGGCGGAGGAAAATTGGAGGCGTGTGCCGTACTGGGCCCATGTCTCCTGCAAGAACTTGGACGTGAATTTGGGGTCGCGGTCGCTGATGATCGCTGAGGGTAGGCCGTGCAGACGAACTACGGTGGAGATGAAAAGCTTCGCGTTCGGCTGTAACTGTTGTACGACAGGGTGCGAAATGTGCCATCTTCGTCATTCGATCGACGACGACTAGCACGGCGTCGTTGCCCGTGGCTGCGGCCGGGAGCCCCGTGACGAAGTCCATCGTCACATGTTGCCACGGTCGCTGGGGTGGCTCGAGCGGTTGCAGCAGTCCGGCTGGCCGCTGTCGAGAAGACTTCATGCGTTGGCAGATCGGGCACGCAGATACGTATCTCTGCACATCAGACGCTGAATCAGGCCAGTAATAAAAACGGTGAAGTAACTTCTGGGTTTTGTCAACCCCGAAATGACCGGAGAGGTTAGAATCGTGGACTTCTTGGATAAGTAATTCGCGGAGGAGTCTGTAGGCGGGAACCCAGATACGGTCAGTACCGGCTTTTAGGAAGTAGGGTCCCTTGGCTGTGGTGGCTTGTTGGTGGAGGTTGTGGGTGAAAAAGGGGTCGGTGTTGTAGCCGTGGGTAAATAGTCCGGTGAGCAGTGGGTTTGATTTCGCAATGATGATGGAGGCGAGGTGGGCGGACGGTCGTGTCAGTGCGTCGGCGATGTTATTCGCCCCACGTTTGTACGTGATGGTGTAGTGGAAGTTTCTCTCGAGGAAGTCCAGCCAGCGAATCTGTCGTGGATTGAGGTTCGGCTGTGCGTGGAGGTACTGTAGGGATTTATGGTCTGTCCGTACTGTCACGTCGGCTCCCGTCAGGTAGCATCGCCACACCTTGAATGCGTGCACGATGGCGAGCATTTCTTTGTCGTGGACGGGGTAGTTGCGCTCGGCTGCCTGCAACTTCCTGGACTCATACGCGATTGGTTGGAGTCCTTCGCCGAAATCTTGTAACAGTATCGCACCGATGGCGAAATCGCTGGCGTCCGTCAAGACTTCGAAAGGTCGAGATGGGTCGGCGATTCGGAGGACCGGGGGCGACGTCAGAAAATTTCGCAGCTCATCGAAAGCAGTCTGCTGTCTCTCCCCCCACTCGAACAAAGTGCCCTTCCGCAGCAGGTCAGTTAACGGTCCGGTTATCCCCGCCATATTGGGGATAAACCTTCGGACGTAATTAACGAACCCCAGAAAATTCTGCACCTCCTGTAAATTCGTCGGCGGCTTCCAGTCGCGAATCGTGGTGATTTTCTTCGGGTCGATTTTGATGCCGTCCGCTCCCACAACATGTCCCAAAAATTCCAGCTCGGATTTGAGGAACTCGCACTTAGAGCCCTTCGTAATGAGGCGGTGTTCTTGCAGCCGCTGGAAAACTTGCTCAAGGTCCTTGAGGTGCTGTTCTCGTGTCTTGCTGTAGATCAGGATGTCATCAAGGTAGACGATGACACACTTGTCGAGGAGAGCGCGGAATACGCCATTCATGGTGAGTTGGAAAGTGGAAGGCGCATTTGTGAGGCCAAACGGCATCATGGTGTACTCGTAGCTGCCATATCGGGTTCGGAACGCCGTCTTGTGGCAGTCGTCAGCGAAGACTCGGATCTGATGGTAACCGCCGCGTAAGTCGATTTTCGAGAAGAAGCGAGCCCCGCGAAGTTGATCGAGAAGATCGTTGGCGCGTGGGATTGGGTAGCGAGACTTGATGGTTCGTCGGTTCAGCGCCCTGTAGTCGATGCACATTCGCAGCCCGCCGTCTTTTTTTGGCGTGAACAGGATTGGTGCTGCGAACGGGGACGTGCTGGGCCGAATGAACCCTTTTTCCAAAAGGTAGTCCAGCTGGCTTCGCAACTCCGTTAGTTCGGGCTGAGTCATCTGCCACTGGGACCT